GAGTCTAACCGTAGCGTGCGTAGATTCTTCGCACCCCCTGCCACGCCTTTACCGTGGTCGCCACCATGATCAGGAATAGCGGGGCCGCCGGGAACTGGGGGCCGTGGCCTTTGTTGCGTCTGCATGGGGAGGGTTTGCCCATAATCGCCACGCTGGGCAAGCGGGTTGGCGATCGCAGTGCGTAGCTTGTCGCACCGGTAACGCTGCTGCCCGTCACCGGCCTGTTGTATTTAGCTACGCCTATTGGCATGGATATACCACCATCGGTCGGTCGCCAGAGCCTCGTTCGTCGTTTAGCAGGATGCACCGCGGGCAGGTGAGGTTGGCTTGGGGCGAAAGATGGTGGTTCGCCCCTCACACCCCATGTTCAAGAAGCTGCACTGGAAAGGGCGCGGTATCATAATCAATGGCGAATACATCTCTCACTTGCGATTTGCAGACGACATCGTCATCATGGCAGAGACGCTGCAAGGCCTACAGCAAATGCTGAATGACCTAGCTGACACTTCTGTACGCATCGGCCTACGGATGAACTTGGATAAAACCAAGGTCATGTTCAACGAACATGTACTACCGGAACCAATTGCGGTACACGGTGCCGTTCTCGAAGTTGTTCAAAATTATATCTACCTCGGGCAGACATTGCAGTTAGGTAGAAACAACTTCGAGGTCGAGGTGAACAGAAGAATTCGGTTGGGTTGGGCAGCGTTTGGGAAGCTACGTCGAGTCTTCTTATCGTCGATCCCACAGTGCCTTAAGACGAGTCTTTAACGAGTGCGTCCTATTCGTCATGACATACGGAGCTGAAACACACTTATGGTACAGCTGGTCCATAAGTTCAAAGTCGCTCAACGTGCTATGGAAAGGGCTATGCTCGGCGTTTCTCTAAGGGATCGCATCAGAAATGAGGTGATCCGGCAGAGAACCAAGGTCATCGACATAGCCTACCGGATCAGCAAGCTGAAGTGGCAGTGGGCTGACCATATTAGCCGCAGAACCGACAACCGTTGGGGAAAACGAGTTCTTGAGTGGAGACCGCGTCTCGGCAAACGTAGTGTAGGACGCCCACAGGCCAGGTGGAGTGACGATTTGCGCAAGATGGCTGGCAGGAGCTGGATGCGAGAAGCCCAAAATCGATCTAAGTGGCTTGCAATGGGAGAGGTCTATGTCCAGCAGTGGACTGCGATAGGCTGATGATGATGATGATCATTTTATTTTATAAAAGTAATAATATGGCATCTTTACATCATGTTTCGACTTGACTTCACGAAAATTTTTATATATTTTTTTAAATAATTTTAAAAGTTATGGCGTTTGTGTTGACCCAGTTCCAAAAGAAGTGCCTTGCGGTGACCAATCCTTGGAAATTCATCTAAAATCCGTCATATCCCTACCTCAAAAAAAAAATCAAGAAAATGTAATTATAATTAAGAAAAACATCAACACCAACCGTTTTAAATTGAAAAAAAATGGTTTTAAACGTTTTTTTCTTTTTAAACAGATTGGTTTAATTGGTTTTAAACCGGCCTTTACATCTTTAAACGAGGCTTTCAGACCTAAGTTCCTCTATAAAACCAGTGTTTAATAATTGATCACTGACAGTGAAAAAGCAGATTAGAATCAACGCGTTCGTATTATTCAGTTTACGAATATACAATATGTAATTGGTATGTGTGTCCATGGTTACTGTGCGCTCCTGGTAACTACTTATGATAATTTTGAAAAAAAAAAACATGTTCAGCTACCGATTATATCTTGCACTACAACTTGCCACACAGGGTAATTAATTGTACTTCGTATACAAAGCTAAAAAAATCTTAACAATCTCTACTTGTAAAAATCTGATGGTTTACAATCAAAACGGAAGTAACAAGACTTGGCTAAGACTTACGGAGGTATTCGACTTAGGCGGCTTTTGTAGGGAAATATTCAAGTATTTCAAGTACCTCGGCTCCCTCTTACAATGTGATGGTGAGATAGATTCGACAAGTTATTTAGACTTTGTGCAAATTTTACCTTCGTCAGCGGGAGTGCCAAGTACCTCTTTCACGGCTGCTGGGACTTGTTCTCCTTCTAACCAATTAAAAGACAGCATACTATTGGGTTCGTTCCAACCATTATTACTTGGTTCCAGATTTGTTGGTACTGCATCCGTTGAACTAAGTATTCGCAATAACTGCACTCCCGAAAGCCCGTGTAATTAGAATTTCAATTAAAAACTTGGGGCTCCTCGCCGATATTCATCTCTTTCTCTCTCCCTTTCGAGTGTATTTTAAATAAAAAGAATGTGAAAGCTGCCGAGAATCTTCTGCTGGCTGCATGCGTCCAAACAATCGAACGTCCGAAATAAGAGAAAGAAGAAATTGACTCCCCAAAAGGAGTGAAAGAAGGAAAAGGAGGATCCGGCCGATTGCGATTTCCCTCGGTTCAGCCGATCGGAGAAAAAAGAGGAAAAAAAGCGTGTGTGTGCACTTTCAAAAATTCAAATTCACACAAGGCAGAAATGAAACTTCCGCAAAAAAAAAAAAACTATAGAAGTAAATAAAATTGTAATGTCAAAATAATAGGTTCATTTCATGCTCACACGGTTATTTGCACGATACTTATGCCTAAAAACCAGTTTAAATTATTTTTGTTTGTCTGTCTGTCTGTTTGTTCTAGGTAATCTTCTAAACGGTTGGGCCGATTTTGATAACATTTTACTACCAGGTAGTAGTTTATATAAGGAGTAACTTAGGCTATTTATCTTTTTTTTTCTCAGAAAAACCCTATAAAATTCTGCCCGGCCCAGGAATCGAACCCACTAAGGCAGCGTTTTTCAAATTCTACGCGAACGGAGTCGCGGGTACCAGTTAGTATTAAATAAAAAGATAAAAGTATTCACACTGTCAAAATATTATGTTAAAAATAATGTGTAATTTATTCTATCTCATTCTCTCACCGACTTAATAATCCTATTTAACATTACAACGCATTTTGGTTTCATCGAGTTTCAAATCACAATGATTCTAAAGAATTTTCACTTCAAAAAGAAACGAGTGCTGCGCTCTCCCTCCTTTATACAGCCTAAGTGAGAGAAAGAAAGGGGGAGGAGAGGGGACTCGTTAATCGCGTTACTTAATCATAGTCATAAGATCCACCTTTTGATATAGGGCCCCGGCGTGTAAGCAGGCGTTTTTTTTAAATTATGTCGAAAAACAGGTTGTTTGGTTAGTAATCGCGCAGACCCAAATCACAGACCTCTTATAAGATGTGTTTTGTCAACATTGAGTAGCGTGTGCTCACATCACGTCAGCCATCTAACGTAATTGATGTGATTGAATGCAAAACAGACGTTGCACATCTCGGGTAAAACGTAGCAGTATAAATCGAAATTGTTAGTTCTTATGCTTCGTTCAAATTGAAGGTAGTAGTTTATGAAGCGTACAAACATAACATAATACTGTTTAGTTTTTCCAAGCTGCCCTAATATAACTTGTTCTTTAAATGCCATAAATTCATCCATGATGTGCGCAGCGCTATCAGGATCAATATTTATTTCAGCGGGTGGAGCTAATTGAATGTTACGGACATATCGATTCACTCTCATCTATGCATAAAGTCGTACACTCCACAAAACACTCGAACAATTTTATACACAATGCTAAATACATCAAGATCTTGTGCATTAGTTACTGAGCTACCACCTATGAGATCGCTTTCGATCATAATTGTCGTTAATCCAGATGCCATTTGAATAATGAGACTTTTACATTCATTCAGTTCTGGACTTTACAGGGGAAAGCGATTTTAGCGATACCTAAGTCATACGTGACCTGAGCATACTTTTGTTTACATTCATCTGCTATTTGCAACGCCATGCGCGTCGCTTGCAACACGACAGACTTCCCGGTTGGCGATCGATTGATTGGAGACAGATAAGCAATAATTTAGATAAAGTATATAAGTATTGTATCAGACAATCTAGTTTTCATAGTACGAGCTCAAAATAAAATTTATTGTACGAAAGCGATAATTGAAAAAGAAATCAGTCCAAGTTTAAACGTATGCCGATTAGTTACTAATTATTTTCACAATTAATATAAACATCTAGTAAACGTAATTCATTATTCGATTGGCAAAATTTATATTTTTTTCCAATTGCGAGGACTGAGTTCGGGGACCCGACCTACATGCCCATGCTCGTCCGCTGGATTTAGGATTTAGTTTTCATTCAATTTCGATTCGAGAACAGTATTCTACTTGCAGCCGAACCTGCACCTCATAAAGTTATAAACAGTAGACCTAGCATGAAATACTGTTTCAATCTATTGAGCACACCAAGCTCTCCGAGGCTAATCTGGCCTTACCCTCTAAGGGTGTTAGCAGACCAAACGATCGATCGTCGATCGATGTTGATCGATTGGTGTGGTGGCTTTTATTTATGTTCGCGTCACTAACCAATCGATCGACGGCATCGATCGACGTTGATCGTTTAACCACATCATCCGGCTTTATTGTATCACTTTCTTTCGAAATGTATTATTGAATAGGACGCGTTATTGTTAGCCAGTACGCTCTCGCTCGTACTATCGTTGCGGAGACGCAATCACAGAAGACTGGATGGGACCGTTTTTTAAGCCAGAGATTGCTTATCTGATACAGATTACATGTTTAATAGCTGTTTTTTTTCCTCGCTTCTCGGATAATCGAGCAGCTCGATCGATGTCAACTATTCTACGTCGACTCGAATTTTGCGGTCACTTAGGGTGTTATCGATCGGTCTGGTAACACTCTAAGTGACCGCGAAATTCGCTCGATATGTCTACGTCGAGGATTCTGATCAGATAACACCCCGTCTAAGCGGCGAGCCGATAGATTTACTGAATGCAAGAAAAAAACTGCGTTTGCGGGGCCACGGTCGAAGAGAGAATGAAACGCGAAACGAACTCTACAATACAAGCTATTTATTATATATATATTTACAGTGGGGGGGGGCGGGGAGGCGCCCACGCCGCGCGTCAGAGCACGGCCAGCGCGCGGGAGGGGGGCGCGTGGGGCAGGTGGGGGGGAGGCGCGTGCGCCAGGTGCGGCGGCGGCTCGGGCTCGTCCAGGTCGAGCGCGGCGTCGATCATGGTCGTGTCGTGCAGCAGGCGCAGGCGCGACGCGCTCAGCGCGGGCGGAGCGGGCGCCTCCAGGTCCAGCGAACGGTTCATGTACGCGTGGCGCACGCCGTCCCCCCCCTCGAACAGGTTGGTGTAGCTGCCGCCGTAGGCGGACAGCTGCAGCGAAGCGGCGGCCGCGGCCGGCTCCGGTGGCTCGGGCGGGCCGGAGTGGCTCGGCGGGCCGAAGGGAGCCGGCGGGCCGAAAGCGGGCGGAGGGCCGAAGGCGGGCGGCGGGCTCGGCGCCGGGGGCGCCTGCGCGGTCACGGGCGCGGCGTCTAGCGCGCGCACGAAGCTCGGCGGCAGCTCGTCCCTCACGTCGATCGTGAACACTCCGCGCCTGGAACGCATTAATTTTTTGAACTTATAGCCGATAACTCCGGCTCCGGCTCGCCGAGCGGGACCGGGGAGAGGCACTCACCGGTCGATGAGGCTGGGCGCCAGCGGGCCGCACAGCACGTGCCAGCAGTTGGCGCAGGCGTTGCCGCGCGAGTACGGGTTCGGGTTGGACACGCCGCGCCGAGTCGAGAACGAGCCCTTGATCTGCACACACACACACGCGTACCGTATATCGCCTGCACCTTCGACATCTGTACGATTCGATGTCTATCGTTTCGGCGTTTACGTTTTATATAACGGACAAAGAAATTTTGTTTGAATCGTCATCCACGAAACGGTTAAAAACTCAAACAAACAGGTCTCAAATCTGAATGCGATCGAGACGCAGCACGCGCACGTAGGGAGAGGTCAGACGTGTGAATGTTTACGAGTGTTTCGAATACATGCGTGTGAATTGTGAATAACTCGTTTCTTCACTAGTACAATTGCAAAATTATTGTTTTCAAACCATTCTACGTTATTAGTTTCAATTTCTCTAGCAGTAATGCAAATAGTCGGAAGTAGAACTCGCCACATCCGACTTTGACATGATGTGTCTCCACTGTCCACTAGACCATGAGAGGCAGTAGCACAAAATGTAAAATTTACTATTTTATTAGAACCTTTAGTTCTATAATACCTATACGATAGTTTTTGACTGATACAATTCGTGAGTGTAGTAACGACTTTTAACGAGTCAAAGAGGTGAACACGTACATTACGCTCATTTATCGAGATTACTCGTACATGATTATTTTATCGTGCGGCATGCCCAGTGACAATTCTTAACGGACGCTATAAAACTGAGAAGCCCAGCTAGTTATGTTTGACTCACGTCCTCGTTGGTCGTCTGATCGGTGGAGGCGAGGTACGTGTGGAAGCCGGCCAGCCCCAGCACGGACCACACGGACAGGAAGCAGACGGCGGCGGTGACGGCGGAGGCGGGCGAGCTGCGCAGCGCCGCCGCCAGCCCCGCGCGGCGCGTCTCCAGCGCCAGGTGCGTCACCGCGCACGCGAACACGAACACCGCCAGGAACGACAGCGACACCACGAACGTGTAGAAGTAGCGGTAGTTACGCTTGCCCACGCAGTTGCCCACCCACGGGCAGTGGTGGTCGAAGCGCTCCACGCAGTTGTCGCACAGCGAGCAGTGCGACGCGCGCGGCGGTCTGAACATCTTGCACGTGAAGCAGTACTTGAGCTTGACGGGCCGGCCGCGCACCAGCACCTCCCGCGCGCGAGGCGGCGGCCGGCCCGCGCCCGCCACGGCCGCCGCCTCGCCCGCCTCCAGCGCGGCGGCCTCGGCCGCGGCCGCGCGCGGGATGATGCCCGGGTCCGACAGCGCCGTGCGCAGCAGCGCCGACAGCGTCAGCACGAACAGCGCCGCGCCCACGGCCGGCACGGCGGGCGACAGGTGCGTGGCCAGGAAGGGACAGTCGAAGGCGAAGTGCAGCGCGCACGTGCCGCATATGAGCGCCAGCGTGAGCGCGAACACGCCGGGGTGAGGAGCCGTCATCAGCCGCCCGTCGCACCAGAAGCGATTGCGCCCCGCGAACACCTCCCACTTGCGCGTCACGCGCCGCGAGGCCATGGCACCATCACCTCCTCCACCTCCACCTCCGACCGCTCCCACACCACACCTGCATATATACCGCGCATCGATGGTCATCATGATGTATGCTTACTTGTTGCGTTGTATGTCGATTGAACTTCATATCGTTCATCAACATTATGGAAGTCAGTACACAGAATAGTCAAGAAAATTGACAATAAAATACTGATAAATAAACTGCACATGGAATTGGTCTGAGTTAATGGAGTCCAAACGTGTCTCTAGAACATTACAAATGTGAGAGCGAGTGTAGTGTACAGGTGTACACTAGGACTCCTAGGACTGTTTTGCTGATAACAGTACATATATAAACACATCTGACATCATTCTAATACAAGTATGTAAAATATAAGACAAAATGACAGGTTAGACATTGATAATTATATTTAAAAATACAGCATGAGGGGTCTATGGACCCAGGTCGGAACGAAGTTCCTTTCGCTTTTTGGCAGATGTTTACAATACAGTAGTTATATTTTTTATTATGAAATATCAAGTTAATAGAGTTAAATTGAAAAAATTTATAATAAAATATATTTATTATGTATAAAATAAATAATGATTAACACTGAATGATCTGGGATATGAAGTGTCAGAACTAAGACGTGTTGTTACGAATTTTTCAACTTTGTTCCAATAAAAAAAAAAGTTTTGATTGTTTGTAGTTGATAAAACCTAAATTACAAGTAAAATGAATCAGAAAAGTTAGAAATATGTGTGTGCAATAGGGGGTAAAATTGGTAAAATATAAATGAGATAGTTCAATAAACTTGTAGGGGTACATACAGTTATGTGTCATTGCTAAGGTAGCAAAGTAAACTAATTCACAGTGCGGCTGTATGGCATCAGATGTTATTTAACCTGCAGAACATTGAACACACTACCACGAGTATGAGAACACAACACATTGCTCCCCAAAAACTAATATGAATAAATGTTTTGACATAGAATACTCAATGCCGGCTTAAACATTTGAAAACAGGTGGTTACAGATTGACGCTGGAGGACAGTGACCTTACCTACTTGTAGCTCACTATAAATTACTTTTATACATTCATTGATTCGCTGACCAATATTTACAACAATCCTTAATGGATGCTATAAAACTGAGAAAGTTGACTTTTAAAGTAGAAGATAAGTATCACATCACACTGTGGTGTGTCCAGACCTAATGGAAAAGTTACTTACTCCACTTTTTGTTTCAAAATATGTTTTGGTAACTTTTGAATGGCTACTTAAAAGTTCAATTTTATTTAAAGGAACACTTTCACATAACTAATACCTAAAGTTCCGGTCTCATTATCAGGTACAATGTACGTTTGGTAATAGAGATCATATTGAATCGATTGCACGCCGTGATAGTGATAAGAGAAATAATAATCTGATTAACATTTACTATGAAATGGGTGGAGTACCTAACGGTCTCTAATTACTTCCCGAACGTTAAGAGAAGGACCCGCATCCAATAATGTCTTTTCACTCACCTTAGGATTCCAAGAGGCGACCAGGTGATTACTACAAGTGATGTAGAATACGGTTCTTAAGAGAACGTACGTTCTGAATAACTTTGGGACTTCCTTGTGTCTCCTTCTATTGTCAGCGCAGCTTCATATTTACACGTATCACTCAGATCACTTTGATTAGTTTCTAATATAAGTTAGTTCATTACAATAAATTAAATAATATAAATTAAATAAAGTAATACTTGTGTTAGGAAAATAAAAACTTTCTTGTTTTCAACATGACAGACGTACCAAGTCACAGATAGTTCATTATTCAGTGTTGCCAGATTTTGAGTTTAATATCAACTTCAACTTTTGATTTATGGCTTTGTGATAGTGTAATCACTATTTCGAAAATGTCAAGTATTTGAAAGACAAACTGTCAAATTATTTTATGTAGAGCAGAGATAAAGCCAAAAAAATATATTTGAGAATGAAGGAAGAAGAATGAATAAATTGTTGACTTTTCCAGGCATGATAAAACTTAAATAAACTAGTAACATAAATATATATCTAGCATAATATATACACATACAAAATACGAGATAACCAGTAAAATAAAAATAAATATTACACTGTGATATTGAAACTATAATTTAATTTTGTTTAAAGTACACTTGCCTAGAATGTATACAATAGGAGTAAAAATAAGTAAAGGAGTAATAATAAAAGATAAGAGTAATTTAAGGGACGTGGGATTAGGAATATGAGAAGGAATGAATTCATAAATAGGAAACCTGGTCCTGGGACAATTAAAAAATATATGATCTTCCCACATTCGCAGATAGAGCTATCCCTAATTATGAGTTATGCTCAAAACGGAATGCATGAGTGGTTTAGTCTTAACTATAGATGCGAAGCTGATTTTAACCAAATTTGCCGCCCCTAAAATCTGTCGCAATAGGCTCCAGCCTGCTCAGCCTGCTGGTAAATATACCACTGGTCCGTGGGGTTACCAGGGATTTCCTTTCTAGGTTACACCTGGTTCCCTGGTTACTGGTACCTGAGACGGTGTGCGATTTATTCCACAAAAATACTCAATTATTTAGTCTTCGTTAATTAGTCGGTCCATTTCAAATTACGTTATTTTGAATAATTTTGAATTTAAGTTTTTTTTGTTATTGTGTTATTTCTTAAATAGTGCCAAGTGCCCCACCTTGCCCCACTGTGGGTTGGCCCATTCCTAAAGATAATCATCATAGTCTAAAAACAAAATGTTATTTACGAAAACATTTTAAACAATACTTTATTATTCCTTATCCAATTAAATAGATACGTTTTGCATTTAATGTACATAAAAATTTCTTTTTCCAGCATATCATTAAAATTAATATTTTAGAAGATATTAGAGGTTTAAATGCGGGCTCAAAGCAGCCGTCGTCGCTTCGGGCGGAACGTCCATCGCGGGTGACTGTGGCCGGCTGGATCAGAGCTAGCCTATAATTATTGCATTTAGAGATGTCATGTAGTATAGACTACTATATACTCGTATTATTAATTACTCCTCACTGACACCACATTGGGAATATTAGTAGTATCTATACTGCACCCGTGCAAAGCCAGGGTGGATCGCTATCGAGCCAGGTACAGGTACAGATACAGGTATAAATAAAAGTGAAAGTGTATGTGCGCCCGTAACTCCCGAAAGACTGCACCTAATTGGATAATTGTTTTTTTTGTGTTCATTATTGTCAGGACAAGGTATATTATATAATAAACGCCTGATGCACAAAGTCTGTCCCGCAAATGATAAGGGCAATAGATGGTTTACATCCTTTGCTAGCAAATTCTTTGGTTGCCTAGGTAGATACATATACAATAAAGTTAACCAGATATTGCATTTATATTCATGTACAAAATACGGTTGCAAAACCGCTGCCACTCGCTGGCTAAAGTCCCTTAGCTATGAGGAAACAGAGAGCCTGTTACAGGTCCCGTCTTGAAATGCGCTGTCCCCCTAGAGTTTAGGATCCACACAAATACTCAAACCACACTACACACCCACTCCCCTACACACACGCTACACACACACCCACATGTACACACATTCACATACTATGCGTTCTCATTCACTTCACATAATAATAACTACTCACTCCTAAACAGGTTGTACCTGCTTAACGCACCACAACCGTCTAGAGCTAGGGGAGGCTGGTAATTTGTCATACAGGTCTACGAACCTAGTACAGATACCAGTCTCTCACACAGACTCACTCAAAATAACCTAGAGTATGATTGTTTATTGTAACCATATCTGTGTGAGAGAGAACAATAAAATATATTATTATTATTATTATATAAAAGATTTTTTATAAATCTCAGAATATGAAATTCATTCACGAATGAGACTCACGAAAAAAAGTTCAATAAATAAAAATTACGTTATCAAAATAGGTAGGCAGGCGTACTCTCCGTCTGCTCGTTTGCCCTCTCTTCCATAAAAAAATGTATTATACGTGTCAAATTCTAGATCTATCGAAATTCCTTTCTCCAATCTTCCAATTTCTACCATTTTTTTTCAGTTCATGTACTTTAGTACCGCTTGTTTTTGACGTAGTCATATTTGGACACATTAGCTAATCTGACAGCTGTTGAGTTCTGCTTTTTAAACAAGTTTACTTTTCTCTGTATATAAAATGTACGCATAAAATTTTGCTTGGCTAGGAAAAGATGTATATAAGTTAAAAGTTTCACGTATCGTAGTATGAACACACGTATCATTCATCTTATCTGTATACGTCTGTGAAATAATGTGCTGACATGGATGTTGTGCAAGTTCCAATAAGATTTACATTATATTTTTATAAAAAGAAGTATTTGTCATGAAGTGCCCTGTTTTTAAACGAATACCTTCCTCAGGTAGAAATGCGTGCTACTATTTGTAGCACTAGTGGTACTTAATGAGAAAGGGTTCGAACCGCAACCATGGGCATGGACGGTTCGCGCCGCGAAGCTTTTATAGTGTTAGGGTTGTGCTTAGCGTGGTATACCATCAGCTCGGCCAGCAATGTGGTGGGTAAATTGGTGCTAACAGACTTCCCGTATCCGATGTCGGTGACGATGGTGCAGCTTCTGTCGATTGTGGTGTGCAGTTACCCCGCATTCGCGGTCTGTGGGGTGCGGCGTGCGACAGACTTCACACGTCCATTCTACTGGCGCGTGCTCGTGCCGCTAGCCTTCGCCAAGTTCCTAACCACTGTATGCTCTCAAGTCTCTATCTGGAAAGTGCCTATCTCGTATGCACACACTGGTGAGATTACTATTGTATCGGTTACTCACTTGCTACTCTCATTAACCTGACACTGCCTTATACATAATGAACATAATTGTAGGGCTTCCTTCTGGAGTCTTTTGTTGACCTGATCTGTTTTGTTGATATAAAGTAAGAACAGTGTAGATATTTTTGTTAACTCTTTTAATCTGTACATACTTCTTGGAATGTTTGCATCACATACAAAGTAACACCCACCTTTGGACAGTGACTGCGCCACAGTGTTTCGCTAATGCAGTCATCATCAAACACATTTGAATTATTGTAATCTGTCGTCGGTTTTGAATAGAGAATTTATTATTGTTATTATACTTCTGATAATTAACACAAAAATGTTGTATTTGAATTTCAAACTGCATTTAGAAATTGTAATGTTCAAAATAATCATGATTATAAATATATATTATCTTCTTTTCTACAGACATCATACACATTAAGGATACACCATACTGTGTATGGTGCTGAGATTGCAATGACTGTACTCAATTTGACTATTGTAAAATACAATTAAAGACTAATAGCCAGTCAGGCATATGAAAATTGCAACAGCATCCAACAACTTAGGTCTTTGTACACTTCGGTGGGACAAAAGTTTTGTTCAATTCCTGTACCGCCGCTTGTTTGAGATTCATCACTGCCTTGCAATCTTTCCACTGAGCTATGTGCACCTGTCAGATCCTCACTGTTGCACCCTAATATCACAAGGAACAAATGTTTGGTCCTGCTTTTGTATGAAATGATTTATTAGCTAGCTTAGCAAACTGAACTTAAACACACATAAGTTATTTGATAATTTAAATTAAAATGTGTTTTGATAAGTAGTCTAATTTGTACACAAAAAATCATAGGTAATATTTTTTCTATAATCATACTCTCAAAATGTTGACATGTGCCAGGTCGCATAGTCGCCTAGTCATTGTTTTAGAATTAGTAATGGATGTAAAAGCGTATTATTACATGATTATTTATTTTTAGTATAATCCTAATTATTATGTAATTGATAACATCCTGTTCGGAACCATGTTAATTAAAATTCATGTAAACCAGAAGTGTAGATTGGAATCTAACCCTACGAGTTAACTAGAATAACCTCTGAAATAATTCTACTTGTCTATTCTAGTTTTGGATCAGATTGCACTGGCCACGGGCACAGGCTGACGGTTAAAAAGTATGTGATAGCTCATACCTGTAGGCATTAATTAATTTATGTAGGACGAGTGACTACATGCAGGGCAGTGCATACCATGTATAATTAGTGTTTTGCATGTGGTCCAGTGAAGGCGACGACACCGTTATGGACAGCCGGACTCTCGTTTGTGCTCTTCGGCGAGCGACAAACGCGCGGTGTGCAGCTGGCGCTGGTCGTGATCGCACTGGGCGTAGGCGTCGCCTCGGCCACTGAGCTGCAGTTCGACGCTCTCGGACTGGGGGCCGCGCTCTCTGCCGCTGCATTGCTCAGTCTACAGCACATATACTCCAAGCGTGTCATGCGAGATACCGGCGTACATCATCTGCGCCTTCTACAGGTTAGTACTCGTACATCCGTTTGGATTGAGGACCTACTTTTCATATCTTTCAATAAAATTAATATTGTTATTTAACGCAACCATTAGATGTTTTAGATGTTTGTTACTTTGGTCCACTTAAGGGGGTCATCCCACGTGTTGAGCTCAAAAAATAGATTTTCTTTTTTTTTCATAAATTGCTTTCTTAACATGTCTAGAATACGGTAAAGGCTACAAGGGTAAGTTGAGATTTTCATAGTTTTAAGCGGACTTGAAACTTTGAACGCGTTTTTCTCAAAAATGTGTTTTTCAAACTTTCCTCCATCGTATCTCAAAAACGGCTCGAACGAATGACTTGAAATTCGCAGGGTACACTCAGCACATGTGAACGCATAGAATGAACTATTATCCATAAAAAAAGCCCAAAATTAAGATTTTTTTATAACAAAAACAAAAGAAAAAAGACGCAAAGTCGTGACTTTTTTTTCAAATGTCTACCAAAAGTCCAATTTTTAGTATATTCATTTGATAATAGTCCATTCCGTGCATTTAAGCTTACAGATTAAAACGCCGCAATTTTTTTTTGTTTCTGATAAGCCAATGAGCCGGAATATTTTTAGTTTAAAATTTATAGTTATACTCGTACTGTCGAAATATGTGTAAATAAACTTAAATCTCTATCTATTTACTGGGCGTAGAAAAATAATTCTAAAAAATCCCTAAAAAACAGGCCGTCACCTGGGATGACCCCCTTAAGAAACTATGGAGGGCAAGACTCTTAGACTATAAAATAAAAAACCGTCGAATGATTATGAACCGATAGTGGCCGCCCGTCCGCCCTGACTAGATTGGGTTTGAAGCCGCTTTAGTCTTCGTGATTATTATTTTTTATATCCATCCAGATTTCTTCGTGCAACTATATTAATTTTATGTCTCAGAGAAAGAGAATCATCAAAAAAATTACAATTTGACGGTTTCACTTCGATAGATTAAAATCTTCATAAAAATAATGCGTTAAATAAAAAATTTCAATTTTACGATGTCATATATATTTAAATACAACCAACGACAGATTTAAATACAAGCAACGATTCCCGAGATTAGCCAGCCCGAGTTAAAGCCAAACAGAGAAGGATTGCGGTAGGATACATTTTGACATAGGTAACGCTGTGTCTGAAAGTATCTAACTGAGACGTGTCGCTACAGACGCTGGGGCGAATGGCGCTCGTGCTGTTCCTGCCGGTGTGGGTGTGGCGGGACGGCGCGGCGCTATGGCAAGGCGCGCGGCCTCGCGGCGGTTGGCTGACGGGTGGCGCGCTGCTGGCGGCGGACGGGCTGCTGGCGTGGTTGCAAGCCGTGGCCGCGTTCAGCGTGCTGTCGCGCGTCACGCCGCTGGCTTACGCCGTGGCGTCGGCCGCCAAGCGCGCGGCCGTGGTCGGCGCGTCACTGCTGCTGCTGCGCAACCCCGCGCCGCCGCTCAACTTGGCGGGCATGGCGCTGGCGCTGCTGGGCGTGTTCGCCTACAACCGCGCGAAAGTGGCGGCGCGCACCGCCACTCCCGTTCGCTTGCCGTTGCCTGTGTGACATACGCACCCTCGGTTGTTCACAATACCTATTGAAATAAAACTAATAAAAAAATTATGTACTAAAAGTATACTTTTTCTTTATTTTTAGTTACCGATTGTAATATAACGAATACCTTGTGTAAAATAAATAAATTATACTTTTGTGATATGAATTTTAAATTGTTCAATTCCGATCTCCAAAGCCCGCAGCAAGCTCAGCCGTAGATTGAGTTGGATCCGCTTCCACTATCGCCTTCAATTGGTCGCTGTCGACTATGGTTAGCTGTCGGTAACTACAGTCGACAACGACGAATTGACCGTCAACTCAATATTTCCAGATCTAAAACCCAAAAATGGACCGTGTCAAATTACAAGCAGTGTTAGGCTCGTACACGTCGTTAATGACTTAATGTTTTGTGTTGTTTGCGCAGCGGCATTCCTACGTAGGAACTCATAAGTATTCGAAAATTATGCTGAGTTGCAGGTTATCCATGGCGCAAAAAACTACCACAATTTCACAAAAACGAAGTGAATAAAAAAAAGTGGGGTCTATTACCCCACTTTTTTTTATTCACTTCAAAACGGCTCTATGTAGAGTCGCTCCAATTTTACCGCTGGATAGGTCTCAGGGCGGGCTTGTTATTAGACACCAAGATTGTCCCGATCGGAGCTGTGGTGGCTGAGTTATTGGGGTTCGAAGTTTACATTAAAAACAATGTGTGGTGTCGTAGGACACCCGATAGGAACGAAGTTGTGACGATCGAGTAAAACTGATTCGACACGATTTTAATTACAACGCCATCTATGAAAGCGGCTATTACCTACATATTTTTCAGTTTGGTTTCTAATTAAAACAATTAATACATTGGTAAAATCTCCTTGAGAAATGATTTCCTATCTATTCGATAGATGGCGCTAAATGACTGACAAGTGACAATTCAAAATAATTACTGAGATGGAAAGTAATGATTTCCTATCTATTCGATAGATGGCGCTGAATGACTGACATAAAAAGTGTCGTTATAACTTTTCGTGAGAATTGTCTAATACTCTCCTAGTAACTATGCCAGCTGGCTGATAAAAGTACTTGAGATATCTCGGTCCGCTCAGCTGATTAGCTTTTGTACCGTCGTAGTACCAAGGTAAAAGAAATTAAACACCGCAGTTGCTTGCGTGTGGAAGAAGGGATTTATTTTATACTTCAGCTTCTATTTATACAAAACAGTACAATGGTTACAAGGGTCCCAGGTTACAGGACCTGAAAAAATATTTTTTTAAACTTACTCCATCTAGCTTGAAGCTTAATCTATTCCTAAGTACCAACTTAAACCTAGAAACTTAAAAATGCCCGATTTTTCTGGAAAAAGTTTGTGATTGTAGGGAAACACGTGGGCTTTCATATGAAATGGCCGGTTTGGGTCCAGGGGTGGGAATTCTAACCCTTAACTAAGTTTTTTAATTAAAATATTTTAGGTTAGGCTAATTTTTTTTTTTTTAAACCTAGATCCTCCAACGTAATTGGAACCTGTTCTTTTCTTATTAACATTTTCATTCCAGTTCCATCAGTTATGCCTCTCGCACTATCATGCCGCATACTGGTTCTTTCTAGCATTCTTTCCTCATTTATGTCTTGTATGGGTGGGATTCCCATCTATGCCTACTATTTTAAACTCACCACTCTATTTGCTTATATCTATCGGGTATAGTTCATTAACTGTAACGACACTTTGTGGACCGAATA